TTTTTTGTATTTTTAGTAGAGACGGGGTTTCACCATGTTGACCAGGATGGTCTCGATCTCTTGACCTCGTGATCCACCCGCCTCGGCCTCCCAAAGTGCTGGGATTACAGGCTTGAGACACCGTGCCCGGCCTAGGTTTTTCTTAATAGGGGCTTCTCTGCTCCACAATAACAAATTTTCTTCATGTTTTTGTCTATCCATTAATCTATCTGGAATTTACTCTCATATGAGAAATGAAGTAGTGATCCAACTTTCTTATGCAAATGGCTAGCCAGTTGTCACCATACTACAATGTTTAGTGACTAATGTATCCTTTGGTAGTGCTTTCAAATGCCACCTTGATTGTGTAAGGAAGGCAAAATTTGACCTCTTACCCTCTTAACATTTTTGGCTGGGCTAGAGAATTGACATAACACAGATTAATAGGAGAAAAGCATGTTGATTTAATATAACTTTTATGTGACACAGGAGCCCTTATAAGGAAATGAAGACCCAAAGAAACAGTTAAACACTATTATTTGGACAAAGAGTAGTACATTGTGAAAATGTGACAAGGCAAGGGGCCTTAGGCTAGGGGGGTTCCTTGTGGCTAAAGGAGAAAGGTTCATTTATGAGGTTAGTGTGTACAGAATTCTCTCGGCCTCAACTGCCAGCCCTGGCGATGAGTGTTACTTTCATCAGAGGGAGGACATCTTCCACATTTGGGTTTCTCTCACTTTCAAGAAGAAAAAGGAGATGTCAGAGTACCCTTTGTGCATCTGTTGTTTATCAAGGGCCATTAGCACAAAATAATCATTATGCCAAAATGCCATGTTCTACCAGCCTTCACTCATGTACTAAATCCCCACTTGCGTTTTCAGCTGTCCCCTCACCCCCATTCCGTTCCACTGCTCTGATGCCTGCATCTGCCTGACCACTGCCAGAATTAGTTCCTGCAGTTCTTCATTGCTTGCTGATCTCTGCTAACCCTACTCCACCCTCATAGCTCTCCTAGTTCAGATTCTTCTCAACTTTTCTCACATCTTAGAGCTTCTATTTTTTATTTTTTTGAGACAGGGTAGTGGTGTGATCTCGGCTTACTGCAATTTCCACCTCCCAGGCTCAGGTGATTCTGTCTCAGCCTCCTGAGTAGCTAGATTAAAGCTACTACCTCCTGGCTAATTTTTGTATTTTTAGTAAAGACAGGGCTTCACCATGTGGGCCAGGCTGGTCTCAAACTCCTGACCTCCAATGATCCACCCACCTTGGTCTTCCAAAGTGCTGGGATTACAGGCGTGAGCCACCACGCCAGGCCCTTTAGAATTTTATATGGCTGTTCTGTTTATTATTTATTCTATGATCTCTCCCAACTGTCCCATGAAGGATGAGGAAACCGCACCCTTGTGCTTCCTCTCTCCTCCCATCCGTCTTTGGTTGGTTTTCTTATGAGTCTTATTTCTTCTAGTTTTCCTTTTAAATAATATGTTCCCAGGCCTGTTACTTGATCTTTCAACTGTATTTTCTGAACTTCCTTCCATGGGAAAACCTATGTACTTTACTTCCACCCTCTCTCTCCTCCCCTTCCCAATGTTTGGAAACACTGTTATTTTTCTATTTCCTGGAGGTCAGGAGGGTGGGACTAAAAGTTCCAACCCTGCAATCACATGGTAGGTCGAAAGGGGTTCATTATGAATAACAAAAGATGCTCCTCACTCCTATCACTTGGAAAGGTTTCAGGAGCTCTATGCCAGGACCTGGGGATGGAAACCAAATCTGTATGTCTTATTGTGTCACAATGTTACAGAAACTTCAGCAAAAGCAGACTGGGCCAGAGCCGCTGGGGCCCAGGCAATGTGAAAGAGCCCACTATTGAAGCGGCTACTTTGTCCCTGGTATATACCCTGGGGCTCATTGTCTTGCCGGGAAAACAGGACAGGACACACATGAGGAGTTTAAGAGCAGAGGTTTAATAGGTAGACGAGAAAGACAAACAGCTTCTTCTATGCAGGAAGGGATCTCCAGGTAGAAAGGACAGTTGGTGGTGAATGCATGAGTTTCAAGGTACAGTTTGAGGAGGCGGTGACTGATTGACACAGGGCTCACAGACTGGTTCGATCAGAGGTTTCAGGCCTGCGTTGGGGGTCCCGGGACACGTCCTCTGCAGACAAGGGGGCACTGCTGCAGTCCTAATATTTTGTCATACAGAAATGCTTCACTGGAAAAAGTCTGTCTTACACTGTCTTTTGCTTACCGCTGTGTCTTATTTGCTTTCTTGTGCCCCACGTTCACGAACACATTTCCCCTTTCTGTGAATGCTTTCACAGATTCATTTTGTAAGGTGGGGACCTCAGCCCATGGGTCATTTCTTCTTGTAAACAGAGGGGGAAAATCCCCTCTCCTTGCCGCCACTGCACGGCCACCCTGACCTGCACTGTGTCGTTCTCTTCTTCCTGGTCACAGTGGCGGCACTGCTCAGTGCCCTGGCCCCTGCCCCATCCCTCCCTGCTCAAGGACTCTGCTCCTTTGTCACGTCTTCCGTCCCGCACATGGACCCTTCTCCCTTGTGCCTGCATCACTGCATCTCCCGCACCGACATGCTGTTCACCGTCTCACTTTGGAAGCTCTCCCTTGCTCCCAGTTCTCCCGTGACCACCACGGGCTTTCCTGCCCTTTTACATCAAGGCTTCGCCCAGAGCCCGCATAAGCCTCCTCCCCTTCCTTACCTCCCACCAGCGTCCTGCTGCTGAATGGACCAATCACAATTTCTTTCCCAGTGTGGAAAAACATGAAACGGATCGTTAAAATGTTACCTTAACATTTCGGTGCCAGCAGCTGCATTTTTATGCTAGAAAGAGGTCAAAGAGAGGCTCCAATTCAGCACAAAAGCGGACAGTGAGTGATAAAGTTTAATTAACCCGTTCTGGGAGGTCACCTTCATGGACTAGCATCCCTTCTGCGAGCTGAAGGACTGAACAAGCAGAAGTAAAGGCCAAACCCATCCCTCCATGCTCCCCACTGTGCAGATGGACTCACTGAGGCTCCGGCGTACATTGCTTACTCAGCACTGGATCTATTTCGGGCCAAAGTGTCAGCAGGACTGATACCCACAGGGCATCCGAGTCCACATCAAAACCAGGCTTCCTCTGTGGCATCTCTTAAACCAAGTTCCTGCCTGCTGACAGTGAGTTTCCAATCGTGGGCTGCCATGGCGGTGCCAGAGGCCTGGCTGGGCACACATCCGGTGGGTGTGGCGTGGAGGAGATTGGGGAGCGGCCTCTAGAAGATCAGCACGAGGTTCACAGAGGGGAAAGAGAACCCACGGCTTGCAGCCAGCAAGGGAAACGGGCTCAGCACACAGACGGGGCCCCTAGTAAAGCCCATCCAGGCCAGCTGCCCTAAGTGCAGATTGGAGTGGGACAGAACGGGGCTGACAACTGAGGAAAATGAGGGAAGCTGAGTGTGCAGGACCCCGCTGCCTCCTGCCTGCAAAGAGGCCATGCTGAGTGTGCAAATGGTGAGCAGGTACATGAAGATCCTCACTGAGGGGCCCAGGGAGATACCAGGCCAGAGGACGCAGGGCCAGCAGGGCCTGGGAGAAGACCAAAGGAGACAGTCAGTGAACTACGGCGGAGCCTGGCACCCCAAGCTGCTGGGGTCAAAGGCAAGGCCAGTGCCAGCCCCTCCAATGGACCAGGCCCTGCCTGGCTTGCTCCAGCTGCTGCCCATCTGAAAGGAGCCCTCTGTGGGTCAGTGCTGGGTCCTCCGAGGCCACCATCACATGGCCATGCTTAAATCTAGGTGGCCTCTGAGGCCACCTCAGTGCCATGCTTAAATCTAGGGATCTGAGATCACTAAATGTGAGCCGGAACACTGCTATTTCCTGGCTCTACGGTCTTGAGGGAATCATTCTCAACCCCAGAGTCTCAGCCTTCTCATCTGTGAAATGGGACATTAACATGTACACCTCACAGAATTCTCACAAGGATTAAATGATGAGTCGTATTCGATGAGATCCCATGCTTTAGGAACTTATGATGAGGGCCCACCCATGGTGGCCAATCACATCCAAGGGGCTGGGGGAGCAGAGGTGACAGGCGGCTATGTAAGAAAAACTCAGGAAACAGCAGGGAGGAGGAGACCACGCCGTCTTTCGAAAGAGGAGAGGTCTCTCTTTTGTCTGATCCCTGCACTGAGAGGCACGAGGCCCCAACATACCAGCCGCTCCCAACATCAGTGATTCCTCTCTGGTTCATATGTTAGGACCAGCTGCTCGATGGAGTCGATCTGCAGGAAAGGAACAGCCATCAGAACCAGTGGGAGATGCTGTTCCAGCCAGCCTTAACAGCCGCCCATGCAGTTTGGCAGCAGCGAGAGGCAGGTGGGAACTCTGGCTTGCGGATGTCTCTAGCCCAGGGAAGGCAACCCTCCCTCCCTCACCCACCCTACCCTCGTCCCACATGGGAACTCGTGCACCAACGCACCCTCACACACTCAGGCCTGCTGGAAGGAAGAGGAGAGACAAGAACCCTGAGGGGGCCGGGGTGCAGAAGAGGGAGGGCCATGGCAGTCACCAGGGCACCACCTGTCGCTCTCCCCCTGGAACCACCACACACTTGCCTGGCCGTGGTTCACTATTTCCCAGAAACTGGAATCCGATGCTCGGTACTTGTTCCCGGGGCAGAGCTGCCACACGGGGGGCAGCCGGGAGAAGGGCATCTGGCTGGGGGACAGCGGATCTTGGCGGTGCACTGCCATCTGCCACAAGTGCACTGTGATGCTGGGTTCATACTGAAGGGACCAGAGAAGAGGCCACAGATCAGGGATAGGGTTCCCTGCCAACGAGGCTGCACACAAACATGGCAGGCCTAGATGCCCCAGCCCGGCCAGGGGGCTGCCAGGGTCAGAGGTCAATGTTTTCAGAATTCCAGACCCAGAGCCTTGGCACTGGTGCCTGTGGCTTCATCTAGGATGGCTGGGGCTCTTCTGGCCCCCTCTGACCTGCACCCCGCCTCACCTCACTCCAACCCCCAAATTTAGCCACTGTTGCCAACCTGTCAACAACCTTAGGTTAAAGCTGAGCATTCTCCTGGGGCTCCATCTCCACCACTGCGTAATTTTTTAAATCTCCTTTTTAAAAACAAGATATCCATGGACTCCCGAATCCGAGGGTGATAATTTCCCCCCCAAAATATACTGCAGCTCTGATCATGACCTTCACATACTTATAGTAAATATACAAAATAAGGCCAGGTGCAGTGGCTTATGCCTGTAATCCCAACACTTTGGGAGACCGAGGCAGGAGGGCTGCTTGAAGCCAGGAGTTCAAGAACAGCCTCAGCAACAGAATGAAACTGTCTCTACAAAAAAATAAAAAATTAGCTGAGCATGGTGACATGTGCCTATAGTCCTAGCTTCCGGGAAGCTAAGGTGGGATGATCTCTTGAACCTGGAAGGTAGAGCTGTTGTGAACTATGATCACAACACTGCGCTTCAGCCTGGAAGACACAGCGAGATCTTGTCTCAAAATAAATTAATAGTACGCCAGGTGCGATGGCTCACGTCTGGAATCCCAGTACTTTGGGAGGCCAAGGCGGGAGGATCACAAGGTCAAGAGATTGAGACCATCCTGGCCAACATGGTAAAACCCCATCTCTACTAAAAATACAAAAATTAGCTGGGCGTGGTGGTACGCGCCTGTAGTCCCAGCTACTTGGGAGGCTGAGGCAGGAGAATCGCTTGAACCTAGGAGGCAGAGGTTGCAGTAAGGGAAGATCACACCACTGCACTCCAGCCTGGGTGACAGGGACTCCATCTAAAAAAAATAGATAATTAAAAATAACAAAATTAGGCCGATACTGGAAGTTAGGAAGATGAAAGGAAAAGGAAAACCAAAGCTTCCTATGTTACGCAACAAAATGGAAAGTCTTTTATACAATTTTCTAAGTATTTGTCTTCAGTGATAAAACATCTTTTTGAATTAAGAATATTAGCACTTTATCAATCAGACGTGTTGTGAATAATTTTTCTCAGTTTGCTGCCCTTTTTTTATAGACTGCTTTTGCAAAGAAAAATATTTTAAATTATACGGCAAAATTTCTCCGTCTCTTTGGATTCTGACTTTAGTTCAGAGATCAGAAAACTAAGTCTAGCTTGCCATCTGCTTTTGCAAATAAACCTTTATTGTGAATATACTAAGGCCCATCCCTCAGCCCTTTACCATTGCCTTTAGCTGCTTTTGTACTGCAATAGCAGAGCTGAGTAGTTGCAAGAGGATAGCTCTCAAAGTGGAAAGTGTGACCGTCAAATCCTTCACAGAAAAAGTCGGCTGATCTTTGCATTAGACGTGCCCAGGAAGCATAATTTTCCACCCTGAGATGTTTATCTACTTTTAAGAAAGAGGGAAAAAAATACTATGTAGCTCCCTTAATCTCACCCATGGCTAAGTTATTTGAAGAATCCATTCTATTTCCACTGAATCTTTTTTTTTTTTTTTTTGAGACAGAGTCTCGCCCTGTTGCCCAGGCTGGAGTGCAGTGGTGCGATGGCAGCTCACTGCAGCCTCTGCCTCCCAGGTTCTCAGCCCCCTGAATAACTGGGATTACAGGCATGTGCCACCATGCCCAGCTAACTTTTGTATTTTTTAAGTATAGGGTTTCACCATGTTGGTCAGGCTGATCTCGAACCCCTAACCTCATGATCTGCCTGCCTCAGCCTCCCAAAGTGCTGGGATGACAGGCATGAGCCACCAAACTCAGTTGAATCATTGAAAAAAAAAACTATTTTTAAGAGTACAGTTCAGTGGCAGTAAGTGCATTCACATGTGCAAGCATCAGCACTATCCAACTCCAGAACTTTTTATCCTGCCAAACTGAGACTCCATACCTGTCATTAACATTAACTCCCCATCCCTCACTCCTTCCAGCCCCTGGCAGCCACCATTCTGCTTTATCTATGAACTAGACCACTCTGAGTACTTCATACAAGAGAATCTGTCCTGTGACTGGCACGTTTCATTTAGTATAATGTCTCCATGTTCCATCCATGTGTCGGGCTTTCCTTTTTAAGTATGAATACTTGATGGTTTGTGTTTTGTTTACCCATTCATCTATCAATGGACACTTAGCTGCCTCCACCTTTTGGCTAGCATGAACATTACAGCTGTGAACGTGAGTGCATGAATACATGTTTAAGGTCCTGCTTCAAATTCTTTTGGGTATATACCCAAAAGTGGCATTGCTGAATTGTGCAATAATTCTCTTCATTTTTTTTTAGGAAGCCTCATGCTGACTTCCATAGTGGCTGTACCATTTTACATTTCCCTCCATTACCTCTTTTTCAGGCTTTTTAAAAACTTAAAATATTTGCTCCAGAATTTTTGCATCCTTTATTTAGTGTAGGTACAGAAAAGCCTTTCCATGTTCTCTAAGGACATTTTTTGAAACAACCTATTAGAAGATTTCTTAGGAAATGTGTTATATTGTTTCAAATGTCAGTGAACTGGCTGGGTACCGTGGCTCACTCCTGTAATCCTAGCACTTTGGGAGGCCAAGGCGGGCAGATCATTTGAGGTCAGGAATTCGAAATCAGCCTGGCCGACATGATTAATCCTTGTTTCTACTAAAAACAAAAAAATTAGCTGAGTGTGGTGGTGCACACCTGTAATCCCAGCTACCCAGGAGGCTGAGGGATGAGAATTGCTTGAGCCTGGAAGGCGGAGGTTGCAGTGAGCAGAGATCACGCCACTGTACTTTTGCCCGGGCAATGAACAAATCAACAACAACAACAAAGGCAGTAAATTGTTTATGATGACCTAAATGTTATTTTAAATATCCGTATAAGCTTTTACCGTAGTACACTAAGGCACAATCAGCTCCTCATTTCCGTGGGTACTGCACCCATGAATCCAACCAACCTCAGATTAAAAATACTTTGGGGGAGAAAAGAAATTCCACCAACTTCAAGAGGCAGAACTTGAAGTGATGTGTAGGCATTGCATTAGGTGTTATTAGTAATCTAATTTGAAATATAGGAGAGGATGTGCTGAGGTTACACGTAATTACCACCCGGGCCATTTTCTATCAGGGACTTGAGCATCCACAGATGGTCCTGGAATCAATCTCCCTCACACACCGGAGACTACTGTATTTAGTTTATCCCCCAAAGACCAGCTGTGATCTAAAACCCTCATCTTCAGCTGTTTCCTGAGTCATTTTCATTATCACCTGGAGAGCTTTTTTAAACTAAAGAATCCAGGACTTCACCCAAGTCTCCCGAATTAATTTCCAGAGGGGATTCCAGGATCTGTTATCTGTCAAAGGCTTCCCCAGGCCATGAGCCACGTCTGTCACTGGCTTGCCACAGACATACTCTCATTTTGCAGATTAGGAATCTGAAACCAATGTCACATTCATCCTGCTGGCCCACCTGCTGCCTCCAATTTGCAATGCTTTTGCATATACTACCCCTGCCTCCTTTCCGGACCTGGAGAACTCCTACTCATCCCACAAACCCCAACTCAAGTGCTGCCCCATTTGTGAATCTTTGCAGCATGCACTGAGAATGGCACTAAGACCTGAGCTACCTTAGCCTCAGTTTCACCCCGCAGAACCACATTATTTCACCTGGATAAGCTTGTGCCTGTGGTCCCTTTATTGCGTGGGGGCGGGGAGGAGAGGCGGGTTCCTGGGGCCAGGACTGGGTATGGACATTGCTGTGCTCCTAGACCTGCACAGAAGTGAGTTTTCCAGCGTGGGTGATAATGGTCCTCTCTGATCCCTGCACTGGCAGGGTCAGTGCGCAGCCCTCCCACAGCCTCCCTTCAGGACCAGGACTCACTGTGCTGCTCTGGGAGGCGCTGCCCTGGGAGCTTGAGAGCCTGGCCCATTCTCTTTGCGATGGACTGAACCGCACGACTACGGTCACCCAGTTCCTCCCCGACTCGTCCTCGTAGATGCCAGGCCTTTGGATCCACAGACGGGCGGGGGGCGCCCCTGAATGCAGACAAGCTTCGGAGGCCATGGCAAGTCCGCACCCGGGGCTGGCCTCAAGGCGCACATGTGGACCTTTTCCAGGTGCGCAACCTCCTTAAGAGGAGCAGCTCCGGCGTGGGTGGGGCCGGTTGTGGGCAGGGCCGGCAGTGGGGGCAGGATCAGTGCGGGGAGGAGAGGGGAGGAGGAGGAGGGGGAGGAGGGGGAAAACAAGCAACCTGCAGCAGGGGCTAGGCAGGGGCGAGGTCAAAGAACTTGGTCTCCTGGAGGGGCAGAGGCTGGACTGTGAGCTGCTGGGGGCAAAATGTGGCTCGCGGGGATAGAGCTGCCCAGGCTTCACTCCAGGCTTCTGCAAGGAATTTGGCTTCTAAGATCGATTCCACCTCCTTTCCACTGGTCCTAGTTCCTCGGCAGCCTCCTCTCTGAGCACCCCTGCCCAATTTTCTAGCAGGTAATTCCCCTCCTTTGCTCCTGGCAATCCCCCTGCCAACCGCCCTGCCCCAGATCCCGAGCTGGCATGCACGACCCTGGTCTCTCCCACCCCTGTGGCCCTTCCTTTAACAAGACTTTGTGTCAGGGACTCTTCTTTGAGCTAAAGCTTAGAGGCGGGCCAGCGCTGTAAACTCCGTGGATTCCTGCCCCTGGAGATATCTGGTGAAGGCGCATCCTGCACAAATCAAGCTCCTTCTCCTTACAAAATAAGCCAGTGCATTATCAGCATCTGAGATCAGGATCAGATAAAGCCGACAAAAACAAGGCCATGGGAGGGCACGAGGCCACCTGGCCAGCCCATCCTTGGCCATGGGGCCCAGAGTGCTCACTTGGCCTGGTTGTCTTATTGGTTCCACTTTGTCAAGAGGCCACAGAAGCTCAAGAACATAGCAAGAAGTGGGTCCCTTCTATAAGCACCCTGGGCTGCTTCTAAATGCACCATGAATAGGAGCCTTTTCCTTTTGAAAACCACAAGCATGATTCTTGTAGTTCAAGTGAAAATTAGCGTTGAGATGATGGCATTCCCCTGGGGAGATGTGAAAATGAGCTCTGGGCAGTCCTGATCCAGCGTAAGTGGCAGGTAGGATAACCACTTTTGAAGAACTCACTGGGCAGCTTCTGTGGAGGTCTGAGCCTTGTTTTCGTAACAATTCCACCTTCTTCCCCAGTGCTTTCCAAGGAACCAACACTTGGGGTGGGAATGCAGTGGGCCGGGAAGACAAGGGACATCACACTCTCATATAATGTGATCCATACATGGAATCACATACGTGTGTCACCTTTGCCATATTCTGTTGGTGAGAGGTAGGTCCTACTCTTACTCAAGGTTATGAATACCAGGAAGCAGGGATCATGGAGAACCCTGGTCTCCTGGGCCCCCTGAAGCCTGTTTGCTATAAGTACCGACCCTATGGGACTCCACTGAGGATCAGATGAGGCTGTGAGTAAAGTGTTAAACCCTGACACATAGCGAATACTTGAAATACGCTGGTCAAGTCGTGTTCTCAGACTTGCTCCCTCTCCCAGGCAGACTCCATCAGTCCTACCCTTGCAACTACTGTTTCTCTCACTTCCTATTGCAAATATATACATATTGGTATTCTCAGCCTCGCTCCCTAATGGGCATGGGTGTGGCTGTCAGTGGGCTGGTGGTAAAGATTGCTTAATATGTGGGGAGCCCCTATGCCATGTCAGGCATTTTTCATAGGGTATCTCATTGACACCTCCCAACAACTCCATAAACTGTCACCCCCATTTCATGGAGGAAGTATCAGAGGCTTGAGTGGCTTAGTAACCTGAACGAAGTGGGTAGCAGAGGGACCCCGCTGTTCCTGGCTCTAATTTGGCTTATTTCATGAAAGAGGCAGAACCTGAGTAGGGAGACCCGTAGTGGCCACTGTGGAAATGGTGGTAGGGCCTGAGGGCGGAGACTGAGCACACCTCCCCATGAGTGGGTGGTCAGAAGGTAAGCAGAGGTCTCCATAGGCAGAAAGTACTAACTACCAGTCTCACCTATCACCCTCCTTGGCCAGGTCTCCCACCCCTCATCCCTTGGAACTGCACTGAAAAAAGCCCCAGAGCTGCAGGCGGGAACAGTTTGGTCCCTGGTCCTTCAGCTGGCCTTTGTCCATGTCGTGTCTGAGATAAGGCTATGTTTTCTGGCCAAGTTGTCCATCTCTGGCACCTGTGACCTGAAGGATTTACTCTCCTGGAGAGATGTCACCAACGTCTTTGAGAAGCACTTTGATCTCGCCAGAATTGCTCCCAGGATTGCCTGATACTGACAGTGCACTCATGCCTGGGCTCAATGCTCTCCTCCTCCAGCAGAGGGAGTCCTTCACAAGCCCCAAGCCCCCAGGATATGGCGGCTGGACAGCCTCTTGCCGGGAGGATTCCAGACCACAAATAAGGGGGCACACTGTGCGGGGCTTGGGAGGCTGCTAAGAGTCACTAATACCTCTGCACATTTCTGTTCAGCTCCTCCTGGGTACTGGGCCAAAATGGCAGGGCAGACAAGATGCCAAGGGCAGATAGCCTAGATGGTGTGTGGTACAGATGTAATTGGCAAAATTATCTCACTGAGGAAGCAGCATGAGTAGATCTGGAGGAGAGGTAATTCAGGGTGTGTCTGGAGATCAGGAATAATGAGGATTACCCAGGCTAATATGATAAAGAATAAGAATACGGTGGCGGGGGGGTGGTGGTCAGGGGGTGGCGCTGATGCTCCATTGTCAGGATCAAACACGCCAGTCCCAGCAGCTGGTTTTGAGGAAGAACAATGAGTGTTTGAGACAAGGAGTGACGTAAGTATGCACTTAATGTTTGAACTAATGATAAAACCATAGAGTGGCTTAGTAATCAAAGATCATGACTACTAGAGAAAGACTGGATGGAGAGGGTGCAGATAATAATAAAAATGAGAACGTCCAAGTTCCAGCTCTGCTTATTTCAGACAGGGAGCAGAATAGACTTGCAAAGTGGTGAAGAAACTCAACCCAATCCTGGAACTAAAGAATGGGGGTTTAGGAAAGCTTTGCTTATTCCGAGGTGAAAATGTACACTATTTTCTTCTAAAGGTTTTATTTAGATTAATATTCCATGTTGATATCCAGTTAACTTAATGCCATTTATTTAAAAAACTAGCCTTTCTCTACTGTACTGTATTATCACGTCTGTCATAAATCTGGGAACATTTCTGTATGAGTCTGTTTCTGGACATTTTCTGTTCCATTAGTCTGTTTGTCTCTCCTTGTGTTGACCCCACATTGCTAATTACTACAGCTTTCAAATAGGTCTTGATATAGTCAGATTCCGTTTCTCCGGAGAACCCTAATACAACTATTCTCTTCTCTTTACATGTCCATATGCATTTTAAAATCAGCTTGTTAATCCTCCCCACCTCCAAAAGCCTGCTAAGATTGATTGGGATTGTGCTGAATCTATAGGTCTATTTAAAGAGATTTAACATCCCCACCATATTAAACCTTACAATCCAAAGCAATTGCATAGTGTGTCCTTCCGTAATATGGGTTGTCTTTAATTGTTCTGATTTCATTAAATTAACTCTTATTTGATGGATGCTATTTTAAATGTTATTTTAAATTCTGTATTATGTCTGTTGCTGTTATAAAAAATGCAACTGATTTGTGTACATTGACACCACATCCAAAACCTAGATTAATTCACTTAACTCTAATAGTTTACCCATTATTTGAGAAAACGTCTTAGCCATTATATCTTCAACTATTCCTATCTCACCCTTGCTTTCCTGCTCTTTCAGTGACTCCAGTTAGACACTGTCAGACGCTTTAAACTGTGCCCATGCTTCCAATGCTTTGTTGTTTTGTTTCCTCTTCTCCCCTGTCTGAGCTTCAATTTTGATGTTTTCTATTGGTTTATCTTCCATTTCACTAATGCTGACATCTGCTATATCCAATCTGCTCTCAAACAATTGATTGCTTGGTGCAAATATTATGTTTATTAGTTCTGGAATGCCCATTTGATGCTTTTTTTTAATAGATTAAAACTTTCCCAATCCAAACCTCAAGAGATGGTTCTGGGACCTCATGCAAGAATTTGGGGCAAGGCCATCGGGTAAAGCTAAACAAGTTAATTATTAAGAAAGTAAAATAATAAAGTGGCCACTCCGTAGGCAGAGCAGGCTGGCTGGCTATTTTCATGGTTATTTCTTGCTTATATGCTAAACAAGGGGTGGATTATTCATGAGTTTTCCATGAAAGGGGTGGACAATTGGAACTGAGGGCTCCTCCCCCCTTAGACATATAGGGTAACTTCCTGACATGTCCGTGGTATTTGTAAACTGTTATGGTGCTGGTAGAAGTATCTTTTATCATGCTCATGTATTATAATTCATGTATAATGAGCAGTGAGGACGACCAGAGGTCACTTTTGTCACCATCTTGGTTTTGGCGTGTTTTGACTGGCTTTTTTACTGCAACTATTTTATCAGCAAGGTCTTTGCGACCTGTATCTTGCGCCTACCTCCTGTCTCATCCTGTGACTTAGAATGCCTAAGCCCATGGGAATGCAGCCCAGTAGGTCTCAGCCTTATTTTACTCAGCCCCTATTCAAAATGGAGTCCCTCTGGTTCAAACGCCTCTGAAAGCAGCATTGGCCTGTTGCACACAACTTCATCTCACCCTAAGGGAGGGAGGGCTTTTTTTTTTTTTTTTTTTAAGGTAGAAGGAATTAAGATATGTCTTTGTGCTGATGGAATTGATGCAGGAGAGAATGACTACAGGCAAGGTATAAACTTAAGGCAAGCACAGTGGCGAGGGCACGGGGTGACTTGGCTTGGAGGAAGGAGGGGCTTTTGTTCTAGTATAACTGAAAGGAACACGGAGAATCGGCTCAGATACAAGTAAGGGCAAGAAGAGGAAATTCCCTTCCTCCACCTTTCACAACATGAAATTACAAATGGTTATTTTGTAATTTTCTAAGACCTAACCTTGGAAAATAAACATATGAAAATATTAAGAACATGTTTATGACCTTGGATAGGGATGACCTTCTCAGAGATGGTGCACAAAGCAAAAGTATGACACATATATGACATAAGAAGTATAAAAGACTTCTTATGACAATACATGAATTTTTAAAAGTGACCAGCGTAAGAGAAGATGGTAACAATATAGAGCAAAGTATTAGTTTCCAGGATATGTAATGAACTCTTACAGATCAGCAAGTAAAAGAGACAACCCATTGGAAAAATAGGGAACAGCTAGCATTCACAGAAAATGAGATGAAAATGGCCAGTTGCTATATGAGAAGATGCTCAGTCTTACAAGTAATCAGGAAAATGCAAATTTTAAAAATGAGATACATTTTTTAAATCTACAGTAGTGCCGGACAAAAGCACTTGACAATATCACATTTTGGCAAATGATGTCCTTTGCCTGACTGACCAGGCCCCTTCTTCACAAGGAACTGGTGCGGGGGAGCCAGGCTCTTCCCCCCGTGGTCACCCTGGCCAGTCAGTTTCCACAAAAGGAGCACACCAGGCTGCTCAGGCCAATACAAGTTTCTTTACTGAAAGGTGGGTTTCTTTCAAAAGGACAGTGTTGATGCAAGACAGACAACTGGTAGAGTTTGAGATTTTTGCAAGACAAAACATCTAGTAACTTCAGTATTCACCAGGGAAACTCCCCCGTGGCGTGTCCCTCCAGCCCTTTATCCTGCCTGCCTTCAGGATCACTGCGTGTCTCATAGGTACTCATTTTTTAGGTCTCCTTGGATAGATTCTGTCCTGCCCACAGGTGAGCCCTTCCCATGCCAAGTTTCCATCTAACCCTCAGTCTGGAGCAGATGCAGGCTTCAGCCCGGTGGAAGCTGCTGGGGTTGGCGGGGGGTGGGGGTGCTGCCTAGCCTTGGATGCTTGGGTAAGGGGAGGCTGGGTAAAGTTCGGATGATGGGCTCCAGTATGTTGGCCAAGGATGAGCCTGGCTTCTCTCATTCAAGTTTCCTCATTGGCAAGAACTGTGAAACTGCCAGTTCTTTTATTAATAGATCTATAAAGTTGGCACTTCTCCCAAGGACAGAACTTTTTCCCCCATAGGAGAAGATAGTCTAAAACCAAATTGAGGAAACATCACTTTCTCCGTTAGCACAGGCTCATCTTGCCCTTGCAAACTTTGGTCTCCTTATTGTCAGAGGGTTTTCAATTTCTCCCCGGCTCCATTGAGAAGGGGGTGGGGAGAGGTGCATTTATCTTTCATAGCTGAGCTTCGTTGGAAGAGGACCAAGGGCTGAATTCATTCAGCCCAGCCATTCTTTCTCCTTCCCCATACAAATAGAGAAAGAATGTTCCTACAATGCCATAGGATTTTCCATTTGCAAATGAGTCAGGAAGCCAGGGGCGCCCAGCATCCAGCCTAGGGCAGGAACGCTTGCCTCCCTTTCAGTCAGAATAATTGTCTCCCACCTTTTATTCAGACTTCTGTTATCACATCAGTCTCTGACTTGGCCTACAGCATGTAGGTTTATATTGCCTGGATCCTATTTCAGGCTTTCTATCTGTCTGTCCTAGATTCTGGCTCCCAAACAAAAAGGGGGCCTAGAATATTTAAAAGTGAAATGGGAGCGTTCCCTGACCCCCATCCCATGACCCCCCATCCCATGACGTGTGGCAGAGGCGTGGCTCTTATGTTCAGCCGCCACATGTTCAAACCCTTTACAGGGGGAAGCATGCAGACAGGCAGGTGCAGGAGTCAGGGCAAGTGCTTTTGGGCTCTGGCCCCATGGTAGCATCTATGGGTGGGTGTCTGCAACTCCCAGCCCCCAAGTGGACACATGTTACAGTGTTCTGTTAGCCTTGCTATCCATGGATGACTTAAGTGTTAGACCCTTTTGGTACCTAGGTCTTTGTCCAGCGTCCAGAGAGAATCAGGTCACACTCAGACTTGAAGGATGAATGCAGGGGTTTTACTGAGTGGTGGAGGTGCCTCTCAGCAGGATGGATGGGGAGCTGGAAGGGGAATGGAGTGGGAAGGTGATCTTCCCCTGGAGTTTGGCCACCCCGTGGCGAATCTCCTCTCCAACCACCCCCAGCCAAATCCCTCTCAATGTTCAGACACTCCTTCTCTTCTCTCTTCTGTGCCATTCTGCCATTCTTCTGCTCTTCTGTTTGTCTCATCTGCTTCTGGAGCCTGGGGTCTGGGATTTATACGATATAGGATGGGGGACATGACAGGCCAAAAGGCAACTTTGGGGCATGAAAACAGGAATGCCTGTTCCCATTTAGGGCCGTGGGTTTCAAGGTTTAAGGGTAGGGCCTTTGCCAGGCAACTGCCCTATTCTACCCAGCATTTCCCTGTCTCCTGCCTGTATCAAAAGCATATAGGGTTTGCTGGTGAACAGCCCCAAATCCAAAGGTTAGTTCTACCTCTTACTAGTTGTGTGACTTTGACCTTATATCTTAACCTTTTTTAACTTCCTATTCCTCACTTGTAGCACAAAGATGCCTTCTACCTTACTACGTTGTTGTAAGAAATGGTAATCACATTTGTAAAGCCCCTGGCACACAGGAGATCATCAATGTTAAGTTATCAGCTGGGGGACAGAGACCGTTTCTTATTCATCTCCATGTCCTCAGCATCAAACCAGTGCCAGAAATATTAGAAGGACCCAGAGAGTACTTGTTGAATTGAAATATCCATTAGTCAAATTGTTTCCTGGGTCAAAACAGTTCTAGCCAAATTCAACATGAACCCAGAGGTGTGCTGAAAATATAACTCATTCCGAGACTCCCTTCCTGCCAACTCCTCACAGAAAATGTACTCAGGAATGGAAGTGTTCACAGCAAAACAAAGGCCCTAGGTATTGAGAGTCTGCAGTGAAATAGAGAGGTCTGAGGGGTCAGGAGAAACAAAGCATCAGCCAGCACAGATGGTCCCCTGGGGTCTTTGTAATTATCATGTCTTCTTTTGCAGGTCTGCTGTGTAACTGGTCTATTTAGGTTAGCAGAGTTGCCGAGGTGAGAGGTGCACTCTGATTGGCCATGAAGGCGGCCCTGTGTGCCTGGAGCTTTTCCTGATTGTGGTACAAAGCTGCATCATGCAGTGCATGAAGATTCACCTGCATCTTTCCTCTGCTGCCTCTCCCTCTGGCTCTTTGGGCTGTGGCTTTAAATGGTTCTTCATTTAATCCATCAGAATGACCCAGAAGGAAGGAATTGTTTGTAAGTGGGTCACTCCCTCAAGCGTTGTGGCAGCCTTCTTATGATGAAGAAATTGGGTCTTTGCAAATAGTAAGTATCTAACCAAAGGCTGGGGTGAGGGGAGAGAGGCCCGCATGTGTTATGAGCTCCCCATGGAAACTGTTCTGTGTTCCTCCCCTCATTTCAGAGATGAAGGACCAAGGCTCTGAAAGCAATCATCAGGCTAGGCATGGTGGCTCACACCTGTAATCCCAGCACTTTGGAGAGCTGAAGTGGGTGGATCGCTTGAGCCCAGGAGTTCGAGACCAGCCTGGGCAACATGGCAAAATCCCATCTCTACAAAAGATGAAAAATTAGCCAGGTGCCATGGCACATGCCCTATAGTCCCAGCTACTCAGGAGGCTGAAGTGGGATGATCTCTTGAGTTCGGGAGGTTGAGGCTGCAGTGAGCCATGATCATGCCACTGCATTCTAGCCTAGGAGATAAAATGAGACCTTATCTCAAAAAAAAAAAAAAAATGACCATCACTTAGCCGAGATCACAGAGGTAGTTAGTGGAGGAGCTAGAATCTGACCTTTAGCATGTTTGATTCCAAAGTCCAAACTCTCTTCCACTACACAGCAGGTGCTTGGTAGACACTGCAAACTCTGTTCACTGATTGACAGAAGTCAGGCTGGTATTCATGAGCTGAGCACATATGCCCTAGTAACTCAGCAAGCCTCTCCAGTTAGATTGTCAAATACTAATCACTCATCTAATTCACACAGGGTACCTGGGGCCCAGCTCCAAGCTACTCCATAACAACAGAGGACACCATCTTATTTATACTCAGGCCCTGTGAGATCCAACTTACCTAGGAGATATTCTGGGGATGAAGTGGAGGGGGCCTCACTGCACAACTCTAATAGATAGAGTGCCTGATTTGCAAGGCCATGCTGCTTGAATATCTGAGGTCCCAGGGATGCCAGCCAACCTTCCTGGCTTTCTGAGTTTGACAGAGAAAGTAACCCAACTGTCCCTCCTCTCTGTACATACAGATATTACAAGGACCCTCCCATCCTTAGAAACAAGCTTGCCCACCACCATCTTTTCATGATGAAAGTCAATGTAGTATGAAGGTTAAAAACAGATCCTGGGCCAGGCGCGGTGGCTCATGTCTATAATCCCAGCACTTTGGGAGGCCAAAGTGGGTGGATCACAAGGTCAGGAGAACGAGACCATCCTGACTAACACAGGGAAACCCTGTCACTACTAAGAATACAAAAATTAGCCGGGCATGGTGGCGGGCGCCTGTAGTCCCAGCTACTCAGGAGGCTGAGACAGGAGAATCGCTTGAACCCAGGAGGTGGAGGTTACAGTGAGCCAAGATCACACCATTGCACTCCAGCCTGGGTGACAGAGCAAGACTCTATTTCAAAAATAAAATAAAATATAAATAAAAACACAGATTCTGGAACCAGACTGCCTGGCTTCAAATCCCAGCTCTGATATTTACTAGCCATGTGAATTCCAGGATGTAACTGACCTGTCAAAAGGTATAATGAAAAGACTACATACTTCGTATAATTGTAAGGATTAAATGAACTGAAATGTGCTGTTTTTAGAACAGTGTCTGGAACACAGTAAGTGCCTTAGGTATTGTTATTATTGAGTATCATGCTAGCTCTCCAGCCTTCCCTTTAAAGCCAGACTTCTCAGAATAGGCTACAGGCACTAACCCTCAAGCCTGATACCTAGTACAGACCATCTCATAATCTTGTTTCTGCCAACCTACCCCCAGCCTCCACTGAAACTGCTCTCTTAAAGGGCCCCCGGGGCCTCCTTCCTGAAGGTGATGGATGATGAGTTTCTTTAGCAGAAGCTATCCCAGTAACTTTGCCACCTGTCACACTGCAGCCCTTCCCACCTTCTCAACCCTCTGGTTTTCCTTTGGTTTCCATGCTTTGACGGTGACAATTCTCACTTTTTGACATACTAAAGTTTAAAATGTTAGGTGGGACTAAAATTAACCATCATCCATCTCCTAAAAGCTTTCCCGCTAAACTTCTTTTTCTCTTTTAAACAGGGTCTCACTCTGTCAACCAGGCTGGAGTACAGTGGTGCTATCACGGCTCACTGCAGCCTCGACCTCCTGGTCTCAAGCGATCCGCCCACCTCTGCCTCCAGAGTGGCTGTGACTACAAGTGCATGCCACTGCACATGGCCCCTGCCAGACTTCTGATAACAACATGTATTTTTCCCCACCATTCACCTTTCTAACCAGAGAGCTCTGGTAAATGAGGCTTCACTGAACACACAGAACCCAAGATATGACTGTTTAACAGCTATCTATCTTTATCCATCAGACTGGATTCCCTAGTGTCCAGAGAAAAGGTTGTTCCCATTTTCATTATGCTACAGGGACCTACTATGGAAGATGGGCAGGCAGAGGAGCAAGGCAGAAGCAATGAACAGCCACCAAATATACGCAGACGTGCAATGTACAGCCAAGTCCATGGTCCTGTAAACTGCCGGATTCATCACCCATCACTCCTCCTTCCCAGTGTCTAGAATCATTCACCCCCCTGCAGCCTCAGCCCTGAACCAGCCCTGAGTCCAATTCTACCCTGATTTAGAGAAGGGGAGTGGATTAGGCTGGGTACCGTGGCTCATGCCTATAATCCAAGCACTTTGGGAGGCCAAGGCAGGCGGATCACCTGAGGTCAGGAGTTTGAGACCAGCCTGACCAACATGGAGAAACCCAGTCTCTACTAAAAGTACAAAAAATTAGCTGATCATGGTGGAGCATGCCTGTAGGCCCAGCTACTCAGGAGGCTGAGGCAGGAGAATCGCTTGAACCCGGGAGATGGAGGTTGCAGTGAGCCAAAATCATGCCATTGCACTCCAGCCTGGGCAGCAAAAGCAAAACTCCATCTCAAAAAGATAAAAAAAGAAAAAAAGAAGGGGAGCAGATTAAACACTTATTACCTCTGAGAATTCAGCAACTCCAGCCTGTCTGCTGTCTAATACTAGTGTTCAGAGTCCCCACTTTGAAACCAGGGTTCGAGTCCCTATACCCCAGTCCTTCCATGAAAGATTTGCCTTAGTACCAACACTTCAGGGAGCATCTTCTGCCCCCAACCACCAATATACAGCAGACACCCCTACACACCAGGCACACACACACACACACACACACACACACACACACTCTCATCCTTCCCAAACACCGGAGGCCTGCATCTGACCCAGGGCTGTGCCTCAGGCCTCGAGCCCTGATCTCTCTGATGCTGGATGGATAAACAGGAACCATGTCTTCTTGATGTTTACAGTAGGCTTGGCACATACTAGGTGCCTGATAAATGGCGGAAGAACTGAATTCCTGCTGCCTCATGCCTGCTGCAAGAAAAGTCATCAAGAACAGCGTAAAGAGTCATCCCTGGGGATGCGACAGCCAAGCCAGGATCTGGGTTCTGACACCACGTTCGGGATGGTGAACACATTGCTGAGCCCCTTTGCACCTCGGTTTCCTCAAGGCTGTGAGGATTAGCAATGACATGTGGAAATGTGTGCTGTAAAAACGCCTGCCTGGGTTTGATCTTGAAGAATAGTGGTATGAAAACAGAGTGTTACAACTCCCCTCCCCTTTGAGAGGGGAGAGAAATCAGAAATAGAACTTTTTCTTTAGGAAAAGAATCACTTGTAATGAAAAGAAACTGTGAAGAAATCACCGTACCTTTGTTTATCCAGTGCAAAAATGCTGTCTCTGCGCTGAATTATTGGTAGGGCCGTCTGGGTTATAAAGTGTGATGGGCAAAAATCAAAGGTCTCAACTCAGATCTTTCCTCTGAGTTTTCACCCTCCCTACACCTCACTTCCTGATGTTCAGGGTCCGGAAATGCAAGCAACTTCTCAGCTGTGCACTCTATCTTAGCCTCTTTATAAAATAGAAATCAGGCTGGGAGTGGTGGCTCACACCTGTAGTCTCAGTGCTTTGGGAGGCCAAGGCAGGAGGACTGCTTGAGCTCAGGAGTTTGAGACCTGCCTGTGCAGCATAGCAGGATCCCATCTCTACAAAAAAATAAAAATAAAGAATAAAATATAAATCAGAGCCCTATATTCTGTGCAGACTTCTAGCTTTGTGAAGCACATTTTATATTACTGCATGAAGCCATAAAATTTGGCAAGTGTAGGAGATTGCTGAGTGTTACACATTTAATCACTCGAGATGTACATGTCAGAATTTGTTCTTGTTTGAGGTTTTTTTAAATGTTCTCTCCCTCTACCCTCCTCCTCCTCTGGGCGTTCCCCAGCACTGGGAGTAACTTTAGGTGCCTTTAGTGTTTGAGGGGGCAGCCTTTCCTGTTGAGTCTCCCTGTTGGAGGGACGTGTAACCAGTTTCTGTTGATAAAAGTGATTTGGACAATTTCAGAAACTAAAATTCATCTAAAAAAATAGTAGCGACGGTTCCTGCTGTCGTTAGCTGATCCTCACGTACCAGCTGTCCTCAGACAGTGGGAGTCACCCACTTGCTAAGATACCAAATTTACCTCTTTGAGGGGTCTCCCTCCTCCTACCTTCTGTCACCTGACTTTCATTTCTTTAATAAATATTTCTCGGGCTCCTGCTGTGTGCTGGCCTGGTCCTAGACGCAGCAGAGCCAGAGGCGAGTGGGACTGGCACGTCCCTCCCTGCTTCATCCATGTCCTTTCTGGCAGGGGGCAGATGACAAACGAAACCAACTGATGGTATTCTAGAAGGCAATAAAAGTGTTATGGGAAAATCAGGCCCTGTAATGGGCTGGCGTGATGGATGAGTACCATGTCAGACTACAGTGCCAAGGAACACCCCCTCAGAAGAGGGTATTTGAGCAGAGAGAGCCAGCTGCATGGTCTGGCAGAGGGGGCACAGATTCCCAGGAGACAGAAACAGTGTGAGGGTCCCCAAAGCAGAACAAGCCTGGGGTGTCTGAGAAACAAAGTCTGATAAGAGGAGGGGAGGGGATCTTAGATGGGGTCAGGAGGTGAGGACAGGCGGCAGGTCACGCAGGGCTGTGGGCCAAGGTTTCATTCCAAGGGCTGAGGGACCAAGGAGAGTGGATTAAAAGGATTCGTCTTGTGGCCCTGCAGAGTAGGCACTGCAGGGTTTGAGAGCAGAAGCCAAGGCCACTCAGGAGGCTGTTGTGCAAGTCCTAGTAAGGGACGAGGTGGTGGGGACTGGAATGGCGGAGAGAGGTGTTGAGAAGGCACTGGAGGCAGGATCCATTTCGGAGTTGACAGGGCTGGACAGTGGGCTGAGGTGGGTGTGAGGAAAAGAGAGGAAGGAAAATTGGCGCTCTGCCTCCCCAGTACCTGCTTCACCAGCCTTCCTGACCGGCCAAGACCCCGGCCCAGCTCCCACCTCCACCGAAGCACCATCCTGATTTCCCCCCTCACAGTCTACGTATTCCGGAGCCCCCTCCCCTCCCACCTGCACTCTCACTGCCCCAGCTTCTGTTCCAACCCCAGGAAGGAGGAGGGAGAAATGTACATGACTCAAATCTGCAATGGCAGCTGCTCTTGGCCCAGCGTGAATGTGTCTGGGATGTAAATCTGTTGTCTCTCTGGATAAAACAGGAAACAATTACTCATGCAGATGAAAAACTTTTATTCCCCTCCTTGACAGCTAACATCTCAAGGAGCCTTTACTATGTCAGTCCTCAGCTGAGACAGAAGCAAATACTTTCCATCTGTAGTCTGTGGGATAATGTCAGGCAGCTCCTGGTTTAATAACGAGCTTCTGATTTCTGGCAGGACCACGGGGATACAAGGCAGGGGGAGGAGGAAGGCAAAGAACAGCGAGAGAGGTTCTAGGGAAGCGCATCTAAGAATTGCAGGGGAAAAGCTGTTTCAAAGTCAGGGGATGTGGGATACGCCACTGGTTTAGCTACTGAGATGATACGGGGGCTCCTGGGAGAGATGAGCCCTTAGGCCCTGGGCAGGAGACAGGGACCAGCACTGGAATTTATGGCCCTGGGTTCCAAGCTGGGGCTTGTTATTTCATTTAATCATTCAACAAATCCTCATTGAGCATCCATAATGTGCCAAGCCCTATGTAGATTTTACTTTAGGTACTGGCAGGGGTGGGAGGGGATTGACAAGTAAACAGAAAAATTACGATGCAAAGAAAGCATTAGGAGAAACCAGTACAGATTTGGATGCTGCTAATAAGAGCCCAGAGAAATTGCATCTAAGCAGAGGCCTTAGGATGAGATGGGTAAAGGCAGAGGAGATGGAATTCCAGGCAGAGTGAACAGCATATGCAAAGGCAGAAAGACAGGAGGTGCTCAGCGGGGCCAGGGAGTTGCTAAGAGCTCAGTGCAGTTGCAAAGTAGATTGTAAAGCGTGGAAGACAGCGTCTAAAATGGCTTTCAAGTTCTTCACCTCCTGCAGTTTATCCTTTGCACAGTCCCCTCTCCTTGAATGTAGCTATGACCTGTGCCTTGCTTCTAACCTGTAGGAAACAGGACAAAGGCAACGTGATATGTTGCTCTACATGCTTGTGTAGCTATATTACATGAGATATGCTGGCCATTTTGCTGGCATCTCTTACTTCTTTGCTGACTTCTAATAAGCCAGGAGCCAGCTGGGAAACCCCATGTGGCAAGAAATGAGAGCAGCCTCTAGGAGCTGCCAATGGCCTCCAACCAGCAGCCAGAGAAAGCAAGGCTCTCAGTGATACGAGCACAAGGAAATGAACCCTGCAAGTTCAGACGAACAATCGTCTAAGCTTAGGAGGCATCCTTGTCTGGTCAGGTATTCAGATGAGACTGCAGCCATGGCATGCACCTTGATTTCAACCTTGTGAGACCCTAAGCAGAGGGCCATGCCCTGACTCCTGAGCCACAGAAGGCATGCGGTCATAGATGCGTATTGTTTTAGGCTGCTAGGATTGTGTTGCTTTGTTCCACAGCAATGGATAACAGACAGGAGAGGAGAGTGGAATGAGAAGAGGGTCAGGTGGTGGGTGGCCTTGCAAGCCACAGAAGGAAATTTGGACTGACAAGCTCACTGACCTGGGATAAGTCGGTTATTTTTGTAGGGCTTCGGTAAATTGGACTACATGATCTCAGAGATAAAGCATGGATATCACCAGCTAGAGTTCAGTGGGCCTGCCATCAACTAAATGAAGTTCCAGAGCACACTAGAGATAATTTCTTTGTACCCACTTTGGAAAGAATGTGGTGACCCCAGAAGTCAGCAGGTCTCACCAATTCACCAGGTCTATCTAACTTCGTTTTCTTCTTTGAGGGCAAAGACTTTAAGCAAGCAAGAAGAAACTTGCTTAAAACTGGGGACAACAAACCACAACACTCAATGCTGGAAGCCTCCCTCTTTCCTTTCCACTTCAGAATTTTTTAGGTCTAAAATAAGGTAATAAAGAATGTAGCGTAAGACTTGTATTTCCCCCTACCATATCACAACTACAAATCCACCATTATGTATTCTTACGACTTATTTCATGCAAACAAAGCTATGTGCTTGTTGAGTGTCTAATCACCATAGTGGTATGCTTTGAGAGGCCTCCTAGGAAAGGACACTAACCTAAAAAAAATTCTCCCTACGTTTATTGTCTCTCCACTATAACTGCATTATTTGGAGTCTTAGACATTTGCAATCTTCTACCGCAGTGTTTCCCGGACAATAATGTACACAGAAATTGCCTGGGAATGGTGCTAGAATGCAGAACCAGATCCGGTAGTTCTGGGAGGGCCTTGAGATTCCGCATTTCTAACAATTCCTGGGTGAGACCAACGCAGCCAGCCTGGGAAGTTACGCTTTCAGTGGCAAGAATGATATTCTCAATTTAACTGCATAGTGACTAAAATCACCTGGAAGCTTTAAAAATACCCAGCGCCTATGTAGCATCTCAGACCAAGCAAAACAGGATAGCTAGTGGTAGGGCCCAGGCATCAGGACTTTTTAAAGCTCCTGGGCAATTTCAATGGGTAGCTGAGCCTGAGAACTATGCCTAACTAAGCCCTGGGGTAACCTCCAACACCATGGTAAGCAGGTAACATCTTTAGGACTTCTCAAACTTTATATGCCCAGGGTGACCAGGAGCTCACTAACACTGCAACTCTTGGGGCACCACCATGCAGAGATTCCAAATACCCTGGATTAGGATCAGGTGTGTGCTGGTTTTTAAAGCACCAAGTGATTCTCATACAGGTGATCCTTTGAGAACCGGCTGTCTTGATGTCCTCAAGGAAAATGTTCAGTAAACACCAAATTAGTTAACTTATTTTTCAACTGAAAAAGCTTAGTAACCCAGCCGTATGGTTATCCACTAACTCCAAAGTTATCAACTAGTGCTTAGCTAGTTACCTGCTTATAAACACCAGAATTCTAGCTCAGCTCCAGCAAAGATTAATCAATAGCTAGCAAAGAGAAATACAGACAAATGGACGAGAGCCAGAGAACACCAGAGACCAGGGCGAGGCTGATGAGGAAGCCAGAGCTGCAGCCGGACAGCCAGCAGCCTCTTTCCAAACCTGTTCCTCCATTGCATCATCACACAGGTTACTCTTTTCTTCGCGGCTTTCCTGGCTCACTTGAATCAATTTATAAGTGACGCCATACAGCTCTCTGCCTCTTCCAGCCCCAGCGGGGTCTTCATCCCTACCCAGAGGAGACTGGGGAGTGAGGGAGGCTGCTTAGAATACGCCCGTGGAAAGAAGTCAAATTGAATTCATCAGAATTCCCTGCTTGATGCTGGAGTGAAGCAGACACATTCCATTCCACTCGACCCATTTTGTAGATGGGGAAGTGAGGCTTAGAAAACATGTCCCTTGAGCCTTGTTTTTAATGATGACAAAGAGACAGCTGTGTGGAGCACAAAGGGCCTTGAACCAGAGATGCAGAGATCTGGGCTTTACTTGTACCTCTGCCGTGGGCGCCCTGGGCGGCTGCAGACAACCCACTTATTCTCTAAGTTTAGGAGAAAATCAGAAATTGCTGATTCATCACTTACTCAACAAACATTTCTGGAGCTTCTTTGACGTGCCAGGCCTGGGGATAGCTATTGAAATACCTGGGCTTCAAACTGTAGCCAGACCACATCATGGGAGCTGGGTTTGATTCTGCGGCCACGTGCCCACCTGGCTTTCGGTCCTGTTTCTCACTCACTGAGTCTCGTTCACGTATGTGTAAATGAGAGAAAAGAGGTCTGTTTTTCAGGCTGCTGTGGAGATTGGATGGTAACGTGGCACAGCCTGCAGAAGGCTCTCAAACTGTAGACAACATTGGTCAATGGACTGCTGCAAAGAACCAGCAAGAGGCAGGACACTCAGTAGACCAGGGTCCACTCTGGAAACACCTTGTCCAAGCCACAAACCTCTGGACGCTTAGTAGGTGGGCTTAATTCGAAACATTTGTGGTCATCCTTCAGGATGTCACTTGTAATTCCCTGATCTGCAAAGAGGTGAACTTACACACTCACACTTCATAGCTTCAATCTAACATCTCAGGTACCCCATAAATACATACATCTGTGCACCCACAAAAATTATAAATAAAAAACTTTGTTTTTATGATACAAAAAATAGCTTGAATCTAGTCAAAACTATAGACAAAATAATGAGTTTGACATTCAAGTAACTTTTTGGAAATACATAAATGCATATTAATTATTGCGATTATCTATCTTTGCGGCAGTTATAGCCCACCTGGGAAAAATTCCAAGAAAAGGAAAAGCATTTTAGATGGGATGCAATCATGAACAAGAGGTAGACTGTGAAAATCTCCAAATGAGAGGCGTGAGTAGTAGGAGTGACCTGGGCTCCCAAAGGGGTCCCTGGCTATAGAGTGAGGCAGAGATTCCAGGTGAGCCCAGACAGGATCAAGGAGGGGGTTGGGCTTGTGACCAGAGCTGGAGTCTGGGAAGGGCCTCCACTGGCCACTTTAAGTACAATGCAGATGTGGTATAATACCCAGCAGGGCCCTCGCCCGCTCTTGAGCTTAGAACCCCCAGGCAGCAGACAGGCAGTGGTGTATGCAGAGAGCTTTCAGCAGAATGCCCAGCAGGTCCCTTTGTGCAGATGGTGCAGTTTCCCAGAGATCTCTCTCTGCTCTCTGCCCTCAAGCCCCACCCCAGGTTCCAGGGAGGACCACACCAGGGCAGGATCCAGGAGGACAGCAAGAAGGCAGCTCCCTGCCTACCTGATACAAGGTGCCTGTGGCTCTCAGTGCAGTCATGGAGTAGTGGAGCTGGAGCAGGCAGACCCCGGTTCAAATTCCAGCTCTGCTTCTTACCAGCCGGCTGACCTGGGCACTTTCTTCTTTTTCTGGTCTCTATCTCCTTCTCCGTAAAACTGAACATGAATACCTGTCTTCTTGAACATTGCATCCACCCAATGTTTACTGGGCATCAGTTATGAGTTAGGCATTGTTCCTGCATGAGACCCCAGTGACACCTGGGGTGACCGATCATCATACTCAATAAAGCTTTCATTTATCAACTGTTTCTTATATACCAGACCCTGGATGAAATGTTTTACAGCTAATATCTCATTTAATCTTCACCAAAACCCAAGCGGAGGTGGACTCATCCCATTTAGCAGTT